TGCGGAACGAAGTTTATTTCCGTAATTCCATTAGTTTTCGTATCCAAAGACCCTAAACATGAAATAAAAACTTTGGCATTTCTTCTTGCTAACCCTAGCCTTTGTACACAATCTTCTGAAATCAGGCTTGCTTGACTGCCAGGGTCAAGGAGGGCTCTACACAATTGGTATTCACCCGATGAATCCAACACTTTAATAACAGCCGTACATAATAAAACTTCACGCTGAAAATTAAAGTCTGAAACACAAAGATTTAATTACTGGACTAGAACTTGCGATATTCTCCCCTGACCCAGCCGATTGAGTACGCGATTGGTTCTGGCCAGGGAAAAATGGCTTAGCCGTCACTGATAATTCATTCGAACTGTTCGTAACTCCTTTACGTGCCTTTGGTTCATTTTGAACTCTTCCGAAATGCAGTAGTGTGTGATGATTTTTAAAGCACTTTTTACATTTATGTGTACTTCTACACTCGAAATCTTTATGATTTGAAACCAAACAATTAAAACAAACATTATTTCTCTTGACAAAATTAACGCGTTCCTGAACATTCAGATTTAAAAACTTATTACATTTAAAAACTGAATGACCGGCTTTACAATACGTACACTGCGCGCGAATCTCTGAAGCCAATGAATTTGTCTTTTGTAACTTGTTTTTTAACACCTTGCGTTTTACCTGCTTGCAAGGTTCTGGCATGAGATTTCAAGAACTCTAGCAGATTCATTAAGTGTTGGTATTTCCTCACTCTTTAATGTTCTTTCCCACCATCCTCTCGTCGAAGAATCCAATTTAAACTGTACTATTAACATTAAAATAGTATCCGCGAATTGCTCCACTTTGAATCCTAGATTTTCAAACGAACATACACACTCTCTTACAGTGTCTACTAACGCTAAATATCTGACTAGGAATTTCAGATTGTAAATTTGATAAATACAAGATTTTCTTTAATAACGATGAAAGTAATTCTCTCTTATGTGAAAATCTTTGACACAATAAATGCCACGCTATTTCGAAATTTCTGTCACAAATAGTTAAAAGCTTGAACAATCCACAAAGCATCTCCCTTTGAAGAACCCTTTAAATATTGTAGCTTTTGTGTACCCGATAAACGGTCATTATCCACTATCGCCATTTTAAATAAATCAAAAAATTATAACCATTCTTCAGCACTGCCACTAAATACAGGAAGAGTTAGCTTAGGTAAGCGTGTACTCGCTATTTCACAAGATTTACTTTCCACACCAATATGTTTAACATTCTTAACTCTGGTTAGCGTTAAAATTAGCTCATCAACAGTATCTTGTATGACCTACTGCTCTTCTATAAAGACATTAATATCTTTTTTCTTCACACACTACAAATATGTTACTAAAATATCCGAAAGTTCGGTCATTACATTATTTAATCTAGATTTAAAACGTTCTAACTGATCAGCATCAGCAGAATCGTAAGTCACTGTAATTTTCTCTTTCAGTTTACTCAACTTAGCTTTAGATACACGCTTTTTAGTCGTAAGCGTTGTAAATTCCATTATCTAATAAGAAAGATAAGAAAACACACTGACCAATTTTACTGCGACTCCGTAACTGACGGACCAAAAACATGTACGTTCCGTTGTTTAAAAATAGTGGACTGTAAATGACTTGATATTACTTCAGTATAGAACCCAAGAAACCTCAGAGTCATAATGTTGACCGAAACTTCTTTATTGGCTTTCAAACATTAAGTTGGTTGAGGAACGGCGAAGACCACATTGAAACCCCAGACTTCAGTAGCGGCTTCCCAAACAATCTCAGAAGAACCTCTGCTTAGTTGAAACTCCTGTAATTCACAGCAACCTCAAAGTTCTAAACGCGAGCTTTAGAAACCTAACAAATTTGCGTCTGCGCCTCTCCTCGGTACAAAGAAAGAAATACAATTTGCATAACATCGAACACGCTTCATTTATTGGATTTTATTTTCTGGTATAGACATCTTCTATATCAGAAAGCTGTGGATTTTTATTTCAAGGCTTTTGTTTCTTTTTGTTTGAATTTATTTTAGAGTGGACTCAGACGAAGCGGAAGTTTCGATTATTCATGCTGTCATGCAGATTTTTTAAATTAACAAACTTATTAACGAAAATAAGGCCTCCCAGCAGGATTTGAGTGTATATATGTATATAAGATAAATATTATGATAAAAAAGGAGAGTCACATTAATTTAGTGCAGATGGACGAAACAATGCTAGTTCGGCTGAAATGGAAAATGTTAGATTTCAGTCCAAGATATGCAGAAGCCTAACTATGAAACAATCTGAATCAATATCTCTAACAGATTCTCGCCTTTAAACGAACATTTTGAAGGAGAATAATAATGAGTATTATGAATATTTGTATGACAGTATTTAATGATCAACCTCGGACACACAAGAGCCGATGGAGGAAGGTCGTGTAAATGAACGGATTAGTAAATTGCAATCTGCGCCATGCACTGGCTCTGCGATGCAGAACAGCCAAAACCAAATGGATGAAAATACAGGGTAACAATTCTGGAAGGCAATGCAAAGACCCGTGATAGTAATACAAGATATAAATATATATATGTAGCAAATTAAAAGAATTAATTGATAACGAGGAGAATATTTAAAATTACTCCAAGAAAAATAAAACTTAAAAATCCCTTTTAGATTGAAGTTCCTGATTGGCAAACTGACCGTGCACTAATTGTTCACTTGGACATAAAATAAACATTTATACATCCAATTTGAAAAACAAAATGATGAAAAAAGTATTTCGGAGTCTCTCTGTTGATATCGCCGTCCGAGATTTTTGGCTTTGAAAATATATTATTAACTCTACTTCTTGTCTCTTTTGGAACGAAACGAGTAGAATACTAGTGAAATATTCAACCTTAAGGATGCGTTTTCTTTTCAGATTAGGTTAAATCTGAATCTTATGAGGACCAAAAGACCCAGTCCAATGTTGCCGTTGTCAGGCATTTCATCATGCTCAGCAGCATGCGGACATGGTCAAATTGTGAGAAGTCTAAAGGCTTGAAACCTAAATATGCAAACTGCTCAGTACAGTTAAAGGAAATGTGTTAAAAATACGGGGACATTTCCCTTATCTGATAACTTCTCAAATAAGAAGTATTAAGTTAGACTTATTATAAATAAACCTTGTGTTACTGCGATTAATTATTTGCCTTCTGGGATAATCGACGAAGTCAAGAAATTCTTTCAGGACTAAAAAATTCTGGTAGGTATTATTCATTCCTCAGATATTTGTCAAGTAAAGCATTGTGATATTGCAAATACTTTAACTAAATTACCAGAGCCCTCTAACTATTGATTCCTCCAATACCTATTAGGATACTGGTTTATTATGCTAACGGCATTAGAAATAAAATTGTGGCACTTTGTGATTTTATCTTTCATAATGACATATGCCTAATTTCTGAGATATAAGCCAACCTGAGCGATAATTTCAAAATTGAGAGTTTTAGAAACTATCACTGTGACAGTCTCTGACACAGAATAGAAATTAATCACACTGTTATTTTAATTTATGTTCATTATAAACTTAATTTCTGCATTATTTAGGGCGTAGAAAAGTATGGAGTTTAATTCTTTGAAGTTCTATGGACAACTGAAACAAGTCGGGAAAAGAGACAAATTCAATGAGACAATTCATTTATTTTGGTACTTTAAAAAAATTTAAGTTCACTTTGCCGGTCGAAGTCTCAGAGGATTTGTTGAAACGAAACTTGTTTTAGTTGGTTGAATACTTAAATAACTTGGTTTGAAGCTTCAAAACACTTTTCTTTGACAAGTTCTGTTTGAAACTTGGAATAAAAGAGATTAGCAAATATTTTTGGTACTTCTATGATTCCATTTTTCATGTTGTATATGTCTTTTCAGTTCAAATATTGTTTATTAAATTTTTTTTTTGCAATGTGTTTCGGAAAAAAGGGATAGGTTGCATTCAAGTATTCTTACGGCTTTTCCAGGTACTTAAATCCTAACCTTTCAAAATTCATTTATATACATACTTATATATTCTACTTTCTATATTTTCTACTCTTTTTCTTTTACACATAATCGATGTGCAACTTTCTAATGTAATGCAATATAAAATGTCAACAATTATCTTCTGCAGTAGGAAAGATGATTTACACAAAAGCATGGTTTTTATCGATAAAGATTATTCGAATTATGACGAACCGCGACAGGCCTATCTGTATGCATTTAAGGCATTTGAGAAAAACCCTTTTAACAGAAACTCGTTTTTCTTTTTCAAATTATATATGGAACATGATTATTACATTCTATTGCATGATAGCGTCACGTGACAGAAATGATGCTGTAATGAGATTCTGTCCTTTAAACTTCGAGCTCAGATATTATTTAAATATAATAATGTCAATGGTATTAATAGCTAACACAGTAAACACTTTCGTTCAAAGTTTTCCTTCGAACATTTCTTTCTCCCAAACATCTCCTGACCAACTATGGAGGAAGGGCAAAATACAGAAAAGCTGAAATAGAACGAATTTAGATATTTTGATCCTGGTACCCGAGGAAAAAAGAAAAAGTTTGTAGTGGTGCCGTTTTTGTTGCCAGCTTTAGAAAGCCTAAGGGGTATTCAGGGCTTATTTGACTAAATATTTCATATTTCCCTCAATAAAAATCATTAAATATTTTATATTTGCTTCAATAAAAGGTGAATGAATGATTTTAAAACGAGTCTAACTGCATGAGCTTTCTTTGAAAATCCTCTAAACAGAACAACTTTGGAACTTCGGCAACATGCTTGCTTCTCAGACTGTCTTTTTTTGTTTCTATTAAATATTTATAATTCATTAAGATTAGCTTAATAAACTATTCTTACATCAGTTCATTTGCTCAAGGCAATTATGAAGTATGCAGTTGCAAAAAACACATTAAAAGTACATCATAATGAAGTTTCCGTTGTATAAAAGAAAAATATTACAAGAAATAAATATCCCAAAATAAAAAGTTAATGATTTATTACTTAATCAGATAAAAACTGTAACAAGGATGAATAATTTACATCAACTATACATTGATATGCTGAAATTCTGAAATCTGAGAATAGCTCAATAAGAAAACATGATTTAGAAAATGACATGAAAGCACACGCAAAGTTTCGAAGGTTAAAAGGCTTCTTCATACAGTATAATTTCTTATTCCATAGGAAATTTTACTGTACATAGTATTCAAGAAAAGCATAAAATTTCGGAAGGTAGAAATTGTTTTTCACCCAAGGCAATATTTTATAGTTCTACGAAAGTTCTGACTGAGCAAGTTAAGTCAAGCAAGACGAAGTTCTTCTTCATATATCCTTTGTATTTCTTCTTTATAGATAAAGAAGTAGCTAGGAGACCTCATTTTCTACAAAGGGAAAAGAAAATAGAGAAGTAAATGGAATGTTTAATTATAAAAATAAAATTACGATTTCAAAAATTAAAAATGATAAAATAATTGTATAATTATATTACAGACTGCATAAGGGAAAAAGCACCCCCAACTTTTGTAAACATTCTAAACTTTTTTTTGTCGGCCTGAATAATATACATCCAAATGAGATAACGAGATAGAGACTATCATGAGACACTTACGGATGATAAAACCCAAATTTCTTTCAGAAATCAATATTAAACTTTATTTAAAATATTTTCCTAACTAATTATTTTTAAAGAAATTTTAGGAATTTTTTAGAAGCCTAGTTCTATCGAATAAACTGAAAGTAAATGCAAAATTATTGGTTATTTTAAAATTTTGCCTTCGTCAATACAGGGTGTTCTAAAAAATAAATGCGTACTTTTAACAACGGATAATTCACTAAAATTTCCCTCTTGAATTGATTTAAAATAAGCTTTCAGTAAATGCTATTTATTTCAAAAGGCTACTGAAAATTTAAAATCATAAACATAGTTTAGGAGAGAGTTTCAAACAGATCCATCTACGCTACTTTCATCACTCGAATTAGAGATAAATTCGAAGTAGATGGCATTGTTAAGGAAGTTCTGGAAGTTCACAGAAATGTTCAAAAAGTCCCAGGACGATCATCACCAAGGCCACTAAAGATTGCTTTTGGAATCGTACAGTCAGAATTTTTCAAACAAATCTGTGATAAAAGCTAGTCGTGATATATGAATTTCAAAATTACTTGTTCATCACATTTTGCAACGCTGCCTTTGGAGAAATTACATTGTAGTAAATATCCATACTTTTAGTCAAGATAACCCCGTCCAAAAGTGCAGTTTTTTGCAAGTTGTATTTGACAAGATTTGCAGAACATGCACTGATTTCCAGAATGCACCACTAAAATATGCAATTTAACACAGTACAATTTGAAATAAGTAGAATGCGTCACAGCTGATTGGGGAAAATATGTGTGGAACGGAGAAAGGATTAGTTGGACAAATGTTTTTGGCTTGTGAAGATGTTTAATGTTTAAAACACTAGTAATTCATTGTATTATTCACCAGCAAGCTCTTTGGAGGAAATACCTTAAGCCATGTGTTACTGACCCAGTTGTATGAGCAGTAAACTTCATTCACTCTCGTGGACTGTTGCTAGTTTCGTGAATTTATTTTAGAGATCGAAGCTGAATATCCTGACTTGCCTTAGCACATAGATGTTTGATAACTCAGCAAAGGGAACGTTTTATTCAGATATTTCGAACAGAGTGAAGCCATAATTTTTTTTTTTAAATCTTACCACAGCCTTTATTATAGAACAGCGAATGGCTATGGAAATTAGCATTAGCTGCTGACATCGTGTGTTATCTCAACGAATTCAAAGATTTTTAAAGAAAAGGGTTTATCTTAATTTTATAAATATCACGTGGAAGTTAAATATGCTCAATTATAATCATATGGACAAGATTTATATCCGTGTTTGGAAGTACTTACTAATGCGAAAAGACATTTTCGAAATTGAAGTATGTAAAATCGAAATTCAGATCGTTATTAACAGATGACCATTTGCAAGCAAATTTAATGGTAGGAAATACTAATTTCAAAATCTAAATGATGAAATACTGCCTAAAAAAACAGCTACATTCTCCGCATTAGAAATATTAATCTAGTTAATAATAACGTTTTTAAATATGCAAATGTAAATTTTTTATTCGTTTCTTTTTGTTAGTAAAATGTATATAAATATTGTGAAAAAGAATAATACATAATTTAAAAAAATTAACCGTTTTTTGCTCTATGAAAAATTACCCATTCATATTTTAATGTCTACTACTTGGGAAACTTTTACAATCTGTCTTTTTCTAAAAATTATAACAAAACACGCAAAGGCTCTCTGCCTGAAAGAAGGGATGCATTCGGGGAGGACCTTTTAAGGGAAGCTGGGTAATATTCACATTACACCAAATAAAAATGGTGAAAGCAGCCATACATCTCGGCTATTTCACAAAATTTGAAACCTGGTCGAACTACCAGTATTTTCTAGTAATCTTTCTGCGTTGTCGTTAGTGGACAACTACTTATGCATATTTAAAATAAGTATAAATAAAACTAAGTTAAAACCCAAAATTACTCAAACTTTGTTTTATAACATTAACAGAATTTAGCCATTTTTTTTTGGGGGGGGGAGTGTTACTGATTATCTCAAACAATTTGCCACTTTCTTTTCTCACTCATTAAACAGAAACAGAATTTTCCTTAGCAGTTTGAAATATATGCACGTTATTACTTCAGACAGACACGAATGCTCAAGGGATTTCGATACAGTTACGTCACTGCTGCTTCAGAGTTAAACCTTCGGACCTTCAATTTCAATAATCTGTTTTAGAAAATGATGATTTTCTTTTCCGTAAAAGAAGACATGCTGAAATAATGAGTTTAAAAAATGCATAATGAGAGAAATTTTTGCGGAATTTTATAAATAAGTATGATAAATATGAAAGCTACTTACTACATCTTTAGTGGTCCTTAAAGCACCCGCTTTAACAAGTATGTTCGAAATTTTATCTACTTTCTTTGTGGCCATTGCATAATGAAGAGGAGTTCTGCCCAACTGAAACAAAGCCAGCAGCATATCAGTCGTATAAATGAATTTGCATCATTTTTTATTAAACATTTTGCAAATGAAAATTTTCAATTATGAATAAACTAATTTTATTTGACTAAATAGATACAAAGATGATTAATTCTGGTTCTGTTTCCGAAAACTGACTGATTATGCGATCCAGCTACTACACTCAGGTATTAGCAAAAGACAGTATGGCATTATTTCTTTTCTGCAATAGAAAATAATTTCTCATTCGAAATAGAAGGTAGTTAATGCACTAGGAAATCTGCCATTTGTGGTACAAAGAATGCTTTTTGTTTCACATTAACTATGTCTTTAAATAAAAGTTTATTAAAATTTCACGCTAGATTGAAAACTTTTAATCTTAAATTAACTAGAACATAAGGCACTATGAAACAGTCAGCTAAGTATATGCTTACAAAAGTATGAGGGTCTTTCTAGCTAAATAAAAGTGTTGAATAGTACATATAAATTCCATTAGCACATGTACCGTTGATTAATTTATGTAGTTATAAAATGTGCCATTGTTATCTCTGCTTAATGCAAAAGCACGAATGTTTTTTCTGGGAGGGCAATTTTCATATTTTTGTTTTTCTGTGTTAATTAAAATGCCAAGAGACCAAATATAGAAAACACGGCTTTTTTCTTCACTCAGCAGACTGTAAAAAAAAAAAAAAAAAAAAAAAAGGGTCTGTAGAAGTTTAAATACTGCAAAAGCGCGAGGCTCATCAGCCTAACGATTTATTTAAAAAATCATATTATCTGAAATTCTTAGCAATATTTTGCAAACCCTTGTCATGTATTTTTGCCCTCCTTAACGCTGCCTACATGATGTAATTGGAAGCACGTCCAGTAGTCAGTGCTATATAGCCACGTCTTCAGAAGACGAGGGGTTAAGTAAGTCAAACAGATGGACCTGTAACGACATCTTTTGGCAACATCAACAAATATTTCGCAGCATACTCTTAACCTGAATTGTAACAAGAGTTCATCTAACTAAATTATACAATAATACTCATAAATCACTTTGCGGCAACATACAAAAATTCCGGTTAATAAAAAACTTGAATTAAAGAACAGGTTGCGCATAAGGTGTATCAATTATTAATGTTATAACTATGACTAAAAAAAAAAAAGGAAGCAAATGGTTGAATAGTTTCTAAACCAAAATAGTTTAACTAATCGTATTCAGTTTACAAATTAAGTAAGGGAAAGAAAAAGGAAATAAATATATGATTTAATAATTGAAGTTCAAAATCTGTCTGGTCTGAAATTCAGAGTTCAAGAGGATATAGATTTTGGAAAGTACATTTTAAAGTCCCAATACCAGTTTTGAGTTCAAATGATAGGATTTCACGGTCGCTATCGATAATTGTTTTTTCGATTCTGCCAAAGTTTCCGAAACAGTTTGTTTCTATTGTTGCAATTAAAACATCGAAGAAATGTCTACACTATTCGTTAAGGTAGAGTCAGTTATTAATTCTACTTTCATTTCTGATTGAAATACGGTATTCTTCAAGTAATAGAGGGTTCTAAGGTCTAAATATTGCTGCTTCAGCGTACACCACAGCAGTTTCAACAGCAATTCTTAATAACGATTTCATTCAAAAGTGTTTCTCTAGTCGTTTCACTACCGATTGATTCTTGCGAATGTCAACGGATACTTCAAATCAGTTTATCCAATATTTAGGAAATGCACTGGAGTTAAAGGTTGTAGTCTATTATAAACATATCCTAGAAGTCGTGAATTAAGAACTGACTATACATCGATGAGTTGCGTAGACATTTCTTCGAAGGTTAACAATGCTTTTCCTACAATTTTGTTTAAACATTAAACGGATCTAAGAACTAATTCATAAAAATATCCCTAACACGGACCTTGCGAATTTTGGGCAAAGATCGGGGAAGAGTTGAAGCCACTGTGAACCTTGCGTGCAAATGATCTCGTTTATTAACTGAAGATCTTCGTTCCCTGAGATACAACGTCTGCAGGGTTGTCGACACCTGGGCAGAAATGCTAATGTTGAGGGGACTTGAATTTTTCGATTTCTTCAACACGATTTTCGACAAAGGGTTTGAAAGGTTTCAGGCTGATTTTGGATCAAAAAATAATTGTTGAGTCTACCCCAAAATGGCCCGGGATTTTCACTTTCAATGATACTGCCGCCTAATGTAGCTGATAATAGGGCCCCTATTAATTCTGACCTCGGCAAAGTAAGAGATTTTAGTGGGGTTACCCTGTTTTGTGAAGAAATAAGGGCAGTTTTAATTTCTTTATCATTTGTTGCGAAACGGGACTATACGATAGGTTTTTATACTTGTGTCTGAGAAGCAATGTGATTCAAAATTTTCAATATTAAAGTTCGAGAGGATGAACACGTAACGAGGGATGGAGAATTCAGCCATTTGAGAAAGCTCTTTAAAGCTTTTTTCTTCGCTGAGAGGTCAAATCTTCAGGCATTGGTTCATCCTAGTCTATTTGTGATGATCAAATCTTTTGTATTTTAAGACTTTATTCTAACAATGAAAGGATCCAAAATTCTAGTCGGATCGAATCGGAACCTAAAACTGGTAGCAAAAACCTAACACTCCACTTGGAACCTAACATTTCTAGGAGAAATCGTTTTGCCTCTATTTGTTTAGATGTAAAGGACAATAGGTTTTAACCGTCAAAAATGCAGCAAATCTTTGAATTACCACACGTTATACCCAAGATTTAAATGGAAAATGTTCTGTATTAAAAAATTTTAAGATTTTTCATTTGGAACTATCTGTTATTTTACCCACAGTTCGTGTAGTTGTTTTGAGTTAGAGTGCCACTTGCGAAGCTGCATGTTTCCTTATCTAAAAATTTGGATTGATTCAAGATTCGTTTTCTTTAATTGTCCGTTGACAATCACATCATCTACGTATACGTTCTACATCAAAAGGTTAGCGGTTGCAGGATAAAGTTGATTATCTTTTCAGGTAATGTTCACTGGTAGCCCCTAATAGAAACGGACTGCTATTTATTCCAAATTACACTCTAGTGAACCTAGTGAAAGTTTGTAATCTAGCGAGCTATATGGTGGGGAGTAATTTGCTAGATACATTAAAGAGTGTTTAAGAAAAATTACAAAAAAAAAAAAGCATTGTTGATCTTCGAAGAAATGTCTACACTATTCGTTAAGGTAGAGTCAGTTATTAATTCCCCCCCCCTTTGAGCTACATTTAAGTTGAAAATGATGAACCACAACCTTTAACTCCAGTGTATTTCTTATATATTGGACAAACCGATTTGAGAGCGAAATACACTCATGTCCATAAATTAAGGATAATTCGGAATCACGCGGAAATCGAACTCTAAAATAAATATACCCCCTGTAAAATCACTACACACATCTTCAAGAATCATATGCAAATTTCAGGAAGTAACCAGATGATACCGATGGTACGTCACAATGACGAGAGTGTAAGAGAGTGATATATAAGGAATACAGCAAAGAAGTAAATTGTTCGCAGGCGCTTATAAGCATTTCAGTGCAATAACCGAATAGTTATGACACAAAGGACGCATTTGGATGATTTTTTACGTGGTAGAATTATCGGCCGTCTGGAATGTGGGCGTACCCAACTGAAGTATCAAACGAACTTGGAACTGCCCAGAGTGTCATCTCCAGGCTTTGGCAACGATTCCAAGATGATGGTAATGTGAATAGACGTTACAGCACAGGTCGCCCCAGAGTTAAACGCCAAATGAAGACCTGTATTCGGCAGTTACTGCCAAAAGACACAGGCGGAGCACAACTTCAGACCTGTCTCGTCAGCTCTCTTCAGCCACTGGTACGACAATTTCAAGGCAGACTGTGTACAGAGGCTTAGGGCAGATTGGTCTATATGCTCGTAGACCTGTCAGATGCGTTCTACTTACTGCAACTCACTGTCGCCTGCGGTTAGCCTGGAGTAGAGAGCATGCATTTTGGACACCGCAACAGTGGGCTTGTGTGATGTTTTCCGACGAGTCCAGGTTTAGCTTGCAGTCTGATTCTCGCCGAACTTTCATATGGAGAGATCCAGGTACCCGTTAAACCCTTATCACATACGATATTTGTTACCGGAACAAAACGTTTGCAGCAACAGTTCTGAGAAACGGCCTTTGGCGAAATAGGGTTACCATCTTCACTTGGTAAACAGGCTGAAAGCCAAACAAGAATGAGTTATCGCTCAGATTGGCGAAAGTGACGTTTCCTTTCAAGTGACATTCGCTTGTTCGTGTTGTTTTGTATCGTTCACACGCTTTTCGTTTTATGTGTGTGTGTGTGATTATGGCAAAGCCTCGAGGGCTATCTGCCTAAGGGGAGGGATGCCTTTGTGGAGGACTTTCTAAGGGAAACTGGCTCGTATACACGTTACACATGGGGAAAACCACGAAAACACCCATGCAGCCAGCCCGTTCGCGGGATTCGAACCTCGCAACGAACTACCAGTGTTCAGCGACTTTACCGCTCGGCCGCTGGTGGGCCCTTTTCGTTTTAAACTTTATTGTTAGTAATGGAAGATAATAGAAAGGTGATTGCTGTCAAGATAATCACTTTGATCTCCACTCTGGCACTTCAAGTAACAGATAACACACTTCTGGTTATAGTAATGAATTACATCAGTAATAGCCAAATTCTATGACACCAAAAATAGTTAAAACGTGTGCTGATAAGTCTATTATCAGACATTATCTATGTGTATTTTCTGTTGTCTGCATTGCAATGAAAATTTGATGGCTCACTGGAAGATTTGTGACATGGTGACCACCTTCTGACCTTGACTAACTTTAACAAACAAACAGACAAAAAAAAAAAAAAAAAAAAAAAAAAAAACCTTTTATGACAAAAGTCTGTATGGCTGATATTTACATCTTCACAGCCAGCAGATACTATTTAGCAAAATGAAGATCAAATAAAGCATACGAATACATGAGCAATCAAACATGTGCGAGTTGTTTACTGTCCCAT